GACTCGTGTACAGTAGGACAGTATGCGGTATGGAGGAACGTCACCATCCACGCACAGCCCTTCTGTAATATTAACCTTTTTGTCATCATCTCTTTTCTGTCTTCTGCCTGGCTTCCTGACCCCTGTTTTCCCCACAGATTCTCTGGGGAGAGAAATTGGCCTAATATGTAAATATGCGATATAAAGAGAAACTGTCTAAAAGGATGATAATATATTGGATTGTTGTGGTGACTTTTTAAATATGCAGTTTCTGGGTTTTTTTGTTTAGTTTTTTTTTCTTCCCAGTTTTTGTGCGATTGTTTGATTTTTGTTTGACAGCATTTGGAACAGTGAATGCAATAATTCTTGTACAGAGGGGCTTGAGATTTTTGCTGACAGAATGAATTTGAATGTGAATTTTTACACACCCCCTGTTTTTCCCCCCCTCTAAATGCATAGATTGTACATTTCTGCTGCTAGGGTTTAAAGACGGAAACAAGCAACTGTGTGTACAAAGTAGTGATTAATAAATTAGGCCTCCCTTCCTGCAGGGGGAGCTCTCTAGTTCAAGTGAGCAAAGCCTAGTGCCTCATCGCTGGTCGTCCATCGCCTGATTTTTATCTTTCCTTTTAATTTTTACATTTGAGTTTGTGGCTGTCTACTTTTGTTTAAGCTCATCGTGTGTCAGAATGGCGGCTTCGCTGCTTCAACCAGACTGAGGCGTTGAAAACTGGAAATGTTCATAATATCTGGAAATGGACTGGTGAACTGTGAAGGGGGGGAGTGGGGGCTACATGGTATACAGGCACTGAATCTAGAAAAGATGAACTGAATGAGAAACTATAATGGACTTCCATCTCTGCCTGTAACATAAGATGGATCAGTGAGAATAAGACTAACAAATGTCTCTGTGGTACTCTGAAGCTGTGTCCCTGTACTGTATACTACTGCTGCACTAAGATGTTTGTACAGCAGGCGGTTGAAATAATCAATTTCCCAGTTAATGTTTTTTCCTGAAAACGGTCCTCAGAGCCAGTTGTGATGTCTTTAACTTTTTACTCATTGAAAGCATACTGAGAGTAACCCTTGAAGCTCTGAAGTGAAAGGTCAGGGCTGCTTATAATACAAAATGATTGTGCATCAGAACTTGGTGAGGGTGGTCACTTGGAAAAACTACCCTTGGAAAAACCTGATAACTAAGGTCTTTTAGGAGTTTTATTCTTCTCCTCTGCCAGAGTAGCTTTGCATGATTCAGTTCAAAATAATCCTTATTCTTTGAAATCTCTTCAGAGAGATTATCCTCTGTCTGAAACAAACTCTAGTGGCCTCTCTGATTTTAAGCCAACTTTATTCTGATTGGCTGAAGGTTGTTGGCTGAAATGACCACATTGGTGACATCTGCTCTGTGACATCATACAAAGCCAAGATGAGACAGAGTGCTTAATATGAGCATCCAGCATTGTATTTGTACATGAGGCTGAAAAGGAGGAAAACTTAATGGATTGAGAAGTCCACAAAATAATCACTTTTTTCTGTCTCTAAAGAGATTTGGAAGCTCCTTACGTTTTTAAAAGCTATAACAGTGACATTTTACTTTACTGAGATATTTTTAAAGCAGTAAAGTTTACAGCTGTTCATTGATCTATTCATTCTTTTGTTCAATGCAGTATTAAAAAGGGCTGCATGCTTTTGAATAGGTTAGCCTGTGGTTGCCTTTTAGTCTATCAGTTAAATTTTCTGTAAATTCTCCAGAAAAAGGTGTTTTAATTTTCCAGGTGCTGAGATTAGGTCTGTAATTGATAACAAAAAGAGTTTGGAATTAGTTTGGAATAATCCACTTTAATACAGTTGGTTTTTTTTTATTCTGCACCCCACATCATGTTTAGAACTGGTGAGTTGGTTCCTGATACTGATTATATTTCAGAAAAACCCCCTGATATTTATCTTTAAAAAAGACATAATATAAAATATTTCTATCCTAGTAGTGTTAGTTGGAGTATGCGGTATGCAGCTGGGACACAGCTCTGAGTGGTAGCCTATGTCTTATTCTATGGGCATTGCACTGTTCTCCGTGTGTTTGGGTTCTTAGACTCTGTCTAAAAACTAATGTGTGCACGCTTCTGTAACTTTTTTTTTCTTGATCAAAAAAGTGACACATCATGCAGATATACTTGTTTTGTCACATTTTACAAAAAATAACTTTTGTTCATATCGGGTGTTTTTTTTTTTTTTTTTGTATCTGAATGCTTTGATCTCTCAAACTTGTCACCGTTTGAGGCTTCAGACCTTCGACATGCCACTTCATTGTTCTGTTACACAGAGGACAGAGTTCAGACTAAGCCTTAATGTGATGTACAGTGTGCTCCTCTTTTGTGCTCATTTGTTTTGTTTGTTTAATTAGGAACAGCAGAATGGTTGCTCTGAATTTCCTCATGTCTTAGAATCTCGGTGGCATCTGTCCCCGACAACATCTTTCTTTTTTTGTTGTTGTTCTAATGCAGTCTCTTCCCACATGTGTCTGCTCATCTTCAGAGTTTACATTTTTACATTGTTGTTCTGTTCAGCCATCTTTGAATATACACTTTAAAGAAAACACTGGTGTGTGTGTGTGTGTGTGTGTGTTGTTGCTGGTCTTCTCACTTTGAAAGCGTTGCATGGACCATCTGTAAATGTGACTTTAAACATAGTTGAATGCAAAATGAACCACTTGATGGCAGCATTACACTTTGGGTGAAGACTTTTGCTTCTGAGTGTGCAGCAGTACGCATAAAGAACACTCTGATTGTGGAGGGGGTGAGATCTCTTTATTTGGTGGCGGATGAGTAGCTGTTCTTCAGCCACTTATTATTTAATGCGATCTCAACTCGTGATTTCTCCAGTGAAGATACTTCACTCTATATATTTACTTTTGTGCTGAAAATAATCTCACTCTGGGCCTTAGTGCAGCTTTTGAGTTCACCCTGTCTGAGATGACCCTAGCTCACCATTTATTTGAAGTCTTCCGATTGGTTTCCCCTTGCAAACAAAAGGTTTGAACCTCAGGTGGGCGGAGCTTCTGTGCCTGAGATCACCATATTGGGGATATCGGTTCCCTCTGACATCATTAAGAGCCAAGAGTATAAAAAAAAAAGACTTAAACTGAGCCTTTAGAGCAGTCTGAAGTCTGAGCTTTTGGGCTTACAGGGTTTGCTTGCACATGTTGCTGAAACCATTATTTGCAAGAGTATGCATGTGACAGAAAATAAGGAAATGCTTGGTGAGTCCCCTTTGAGCAACGGTGCCTGGCAACAAAGCCTAAGAATGATGTATTAAAGCAGGTGGCACTTTAACTCCTGACAGTAATGAGAAGCGTTGCAGCAGTGCTTAGATGTAAAGTCTGCAGCCACACTAGCACTGCGAATCTTGGCATCGCTACAGCGATATGAGTCGGGCGGTGAATTGGCCTCATGGTGGTGCCAGAAGAAAGGACATCTCCATATAAATCAAAAGGTTTCTCTTCTACAGCTGGCACTACTTCACCAAAAGCTCAGCTTTAAATTTCAAATTATTTTAGTTTTCACCAGCTGAAGCGTAAGACTTGTAGGTGAAATTACTGTTGAAGATGATGCCAATATGCCACAGGCCTTTTCACTGCATGTTACAGCAGGAAAAACACAGGTGTGAAAATAAAAATTGTTTTGGGAACACATGGGGTTTTTTCCTCTCCCCTTCTGTTCTTTGCATTGGAAGAGTTTACAAATGCCATTTGCTAAGCTTGCTAGCATTAGCCGAGATTTTGGCATTCTTTCATGTCAACAAAAGAAACGATGTAACATGAAACATGTTGTGGATGCTGATGCGGGTGATATGGTGACTGTGTCCATCTTTTATATACAGCCTATGCATGCACAGTGTGCTGTGCAAAATCAAGATGTGCTGGACGAGCAGCCGAAAAAGCCGCAGCAACTGTGATGCTATCATGTAAATATGTATCCACCACCTTCACCTCCAGCTCTGAAGGGGGAATAAAAAAAGAGGGGTCCAAACCTGGTGCTGGCACGGTGTACCTAATGAAATGTCTGATTAGTGTTAACATACTAATTGTGTAATCAGCTGATGGGGATCTAGTCAGTGGTACATATGTGGATGCTTGCTCATAGGGGCTCGTATGATTGGAGTTTTCTCTGTATTACAGGGCAGTGATGTCAAACTCATTTTACCACGAGGGACACACTTTGATCTTAAGTTAGCCGGATAAGTGAGACTCCACTTTGTGTCAGTGTACAGACGTTTAACTACACGTTTAATCCCTGGGACATCTTAGTACAAGATAATGAAGTGCCATTTCAACAGCACAAAACAATTTTTCTACATGATAAATTTAGAAAAATCAAAAAGTCAACAATGAAAAATTAACTTCTGTCCTTTTATTCTTTACTAAGTAGTTAAGTAATAAATATAGTATGACTGGCTGTGAGAGAGATGTTAATCAGGAAAAACTATCAAATTAATAAAAAAAAATACTGTTAAAAGTCTAAAAATGTATGCCCTCATTCATATTTTGGACAGATTGTAATCTTTGTCAGGGCAATACTGAACCCCGGGCCTAATGTTTGACACCCCTGCTGCATTGCTTTTACCTTGCAGTATAAAGCCCTGTGATGCAGCTGTGACTGCTATATAAATAAAATTGAACTGAAGTTGTATTAGCATGGCTAGGGGAAAAAAAAAGAGGTTGGCCACCTGTGACAGCTAACATGCTGTATGCACGAGTTTTGCCCGAGCCCAGATGTTCCCAGGTTTCATTAAAGAAAACATGTTTAATAATTGCTTGTTGGATTCATGTAAGGCCAAAGTCAGTGTTTGTGTAAAACAAGCTCCAACATTGGTCTAAATGTCTGACAGGTTTGTTTTTTACACATATATAATGCAGAGCATCATCATGGAGTGGGTGAGCTCATCTGCATACAAATACTGTCATACGTTAAAAACCTAAGGCGGGGTTGTGCGGTTTTCTTTCTTTTATGACAAAAAATAAACAGTTTTCATTTAAAACCTTTTTACTTTATTGTAGAAAAGCCGATCAGTCTGAATAATCGTCACATATCTCGTCAAATGTAGACATAAAAACGCGAGTACACAGTGGTATGAACCTCTTCCTGCAGTGTCCCAGTGATTGTTATTCTGGCAGACCTTCATCTTCACAGAGGCAGCCTCTTTCCCCCACCACCACCACCACCCCCAAAATGTGATAACATGGCTGTATGTTCCTGCAAGCTGCCTCATCCATAATCATCACCACAGCTGAAACAAAGAAGTATTAACTTCAGGAGGCACAGACGGGGTGTACAGGGGCTCCCTAATTATGGACGTGTCGTCTGAGGGGCGCAGATACAACACCGATTAGAGGAGCTCTTGGCTACAATACAAACAAACCGGTGTTTTCTTCTGGAAGAAAAAGCGTGTGATGGTGAAACGAGAGGTAGTAATGGAGCTCATCTGGTAGGCAGAGGTGATAGAGCAACATACTGTCGTAAGCATGTGTAGTAGCCATCAGTACAAGATGGGAAAGCATACTGTACAATTAAAATGTGCCAAGATACATTCATAGTGCAGACACAAACAATCAGGACCTTCACTTTCTAGTAACCTGCTGTAATATATTCTATTTTAATATATACTAAATCATCTAATATAGTACATTTGATTTTAAATAGTTTTAAATCTGCTTAGGTTTCCTTAATTCTTCTAAAGCTCTGAGAGACCCAACCTGATTGGTAAAAGCCATCGATACAAAATAGTAGATTTACTTCTATGTTAAAAGTGCTCTATAAACAAACTAATCTGGGAACTACAGTGTTATGTGTTACGGGAGATGTGATCCACTCTAACAAGGCATGAAACCTGGAACAAACACTGATTTCTGAGAAAAATGCGCTGATCATTAAAAAGAAAAATACAAAGTGGGAGACTAGTGGCAGGCGTCATAAACTATGTGTGTGTGCAAAAAAAGGCCTTGACAGGTGAAAATAGAAATATTCTACTTTGAATACTACCAACTGTATATAAAATGTACTGCTCTCCCCAGGAGTCCCAAACTGTGGAGATCCATTTGGCACCTTGTTTGTTTCCTGTTTGTGTCGCCGTAGTGTCACTCGGTGGGGTCTGAAGGTCCATGGGGGACGCCGCTCCCCTTGTTTGACCCCCTCCCCCATCCTCCTCAGCACGGGGAACTGGAGTTGTTATAGTCCATTAGAAAGGAGCGTTTTTGATGTCAGGTTGACTTCCACAGCGGGTTATTATAGCTCCAACCATCCCCCTGCACAGGTGAGGGAGAAAAAGCCTTTTAAGAAAATAAAGCTCAAATTTGGATCAAATTACCAAAATTTACAAAGTAAGGCCCATTTAAATCCCACCCAGTGCATCTTTAAAAACATGCAATATTGTATAAAAGCTCTTTATGCTTGATAGCATATGAAAATCAGAAATTTAGATTATAACATTATTTCCTAAAATCAATCAAAATAGGATTCAGAAAGCAGTAAAGTCCAACTTTTGAAAAGTATGCTAATTTATACACCATTACTTGGCTCATGGGCTCTTTTACCGCAAATTACTGCATCAGTGTGAGTCGAAGAGATCAGTAACACCAACGCAGTGCGCAAAGCTGAAGTCCACGTTGCTCTGTTAGCATCTGTAGTCTTCTTGATAAAGCTAGTCAGCTGATGATTGAAGCACAAAGTGCTCTAAAATCTGTGTTGATTCTGGACTTGGTAAAAACAGAGCGAACCAACCACCACCAACATCAGCAGATCACATGACAACTGCAGAAACTTCACTCTGGAGCTTGGATTCGGTGACTTCCTCTCTTCCTCCAGACTCCATGACTTTGATTTCCAATTAAAAGCAAAATTGACTTTCATCTGAAAACTTGGATCCTCATCTCTGAGAGACGCACAGTATTTGTACAGTTTGAACTGCAATGTATTCAAACTAGAAAATTCTCATAATCTGAGATAATGATTCAGTTTTTCATGTGCTGTAAGAAATAATCAGTCAATTATATATAAAAGGATGTTTCACTTCATATGGAACAAAATGTATCGTTTGGAAGTAAAAAGCAAAAAGAAAAGATGATTTTTTTTTTTTTTGCACATACACTTGTACTAGTTTTCTCTACAGGTGGTTGTGGCTCAGGAGGTAGAGCAGGTCATCTCTTCCAGTATGAATGCTAAAGTATTCTTGTGCAAGATACTGAACCCAGAGTTGCTTCTGATGTGTTTATATGTAATTGTGCATGAATGTTAGATAGAAAACACTTGGATGTAGAAAAAAAACTGCTTGTGTGCCTGAGTCATAGTGTATAACGTGCTTTACATAAGAACCAGTCCATTTCTGTAAGGTAGACAGCTCTTCCCGCTCCACCACAACCACCCACACATGCAGGGCCTTGGAGTAGGGGTATGTCACCAGGGTGCAGAGGAGGCTACCCCCCCCCCCCCCCCCCCCCCCCTGTCCCCTTCTGGCTGCCTCTGCCTCAATTTTATCCCACAACTTAGACATTCACATTACTCACACTCTCATTACACATACATATAGGATCTTGGGGGTGGGCACGATACACGGAGTCCAAAGTACCATCAGGGTGTACACCCCACCCCTGGCATCGTTGCCCACCTCTCAATTTTAAATACACGTAGACATTGAGGGCTAGCAGGAGGGACCATGCGCTTACCTGCTGCTCTCTGGCAGGTAGCTCCATGCCCTCCTGGGTTTTAAATGCACCTTAGAACACACATGCATCAACACTACAATGAGCGGGTGGAGGGAGGTTTGGAGTCTTCTCTCACCCCCGTTCTCTGCGACCTGCTGGAGCGGGGGGGCTAGGAGGAGGAGTTGGCCGTCCGACTGTGGTCTGGAGTGTGGGGCCTCCCTGCTGCTGCGGAGTCGGGGCGGTCTGCCTCCCCCCACCGCAGGGAAAAGGGTAACACCACCTGGGTCTGGGTGCAGTTCCCCCCTCTCTTTATGTCTGTCTCCACGTTGGTTGAGTGTGGAGTAAGTGCATATGAGAGCATGAGGGTGGGAATGGATGTTTGTGTCTGTGTGTGCCTGTATGTCTGTGTCTATATGTCAGGTTGGGTGTCAGGCGCCACCTCTCTGGGGACATCTCAGGCCCTCCAAGGTTTGGAGGCCTATCTCCCCCTACCACCACTTCCCCTGCCAGTGGCGGACTCCCTCAGGTGTCGGTGCGTTGGTGGTTCTTTGTGTCTGGGGATGGGCGTCCAGGTACACACCGGCTCACTCCTTGGCGGCCGCTTATCGGGGCCTGGAGCCTGGGGCTCGCTCGGGCCACTTCGGAGGTGGGGTGCCCCCGGCCTCTCGGCCTGGGGCTCGGTCACTCAGGCGCGGCTGGCTGCCGGCGGAGCTCACGGGCGCGTCACTGCAACTCCCCCTGGCTTCTGCTCCGCGGCTGCTGAGTGAGCCCTCATCTGGGACTCTCCTCAGCTCTTTCTGGGACAGTGGCGCAGCTGCCCCTCTGTTGGTCTTCCTTGGTCTCTTGTGTTCTGGTGGCCTCTGGATGTCTGGAGTTTTGATCTCCTCCATACCTGCTTCATGCCCTGGAGGACGGGGCTGTGGCCCCCCCACACCCTCTAGCAGATTATTACATGAAGGAACCTTTTAAAAAAACAAAAAAACAAGCACGTCCATGCTCACAGGTGTACACACGGGTGATCACACCCACAAACTACACCCTTTTTGGCTCCTACCTCAAAGCACACTGTGTTCTGTTGATCTTATGTGCTGCACAATAATGTTTAACATTTAGTATTTACTGTCATATTCCCATATATCATTGTGATGTTGTTTATTCTATTACTCTTGTTCTCTTCTGCTTGTTTTCTTTTTTCTTTCTCAGCAGGTGATCCAGGTGATTGATATATGCATTTTTTTTTCTCTGCCCGTTCTGTTGGTTTTTGTCTTTTGCCCTTCTCCCCCGTCCCTCTTCTCAGCTGTTTCTCTTTCCCTCTTTCTTTCTCCCCTTCTTTCCCCCAGTGAAGTCTGTCCCGTGTTCAGTAAGTGAAAATAAAATAAACAATAAAAGGTGAATCAAATGGACCATTACGGCAAGGCTGGGATGGTCAATTTGGTAAAGTAAATCCGTTGGGCATCTTTGTTTGCCTTTAGACAACAATTCTGATGGCAAAAGAGCCAAATGGGACAGGCAAAAAAAAAAAAAAAAAAAAAAGGTAGACAGCAATATAGTGGAAGCAAAGGTGATTAAAGCAGAACGACTTTGCGTGTTCTTCACGAGTTCTCTTTTAGTCGGTTGCCACTGCAGAAGCAAGAACTAAACCTAACATTTAGTTTGTGACCCAAAAATGTATCACCACAAAAACAGCACACAGTATAATCACACAGTTACAAGCGCTGTGTGTGCTACTAATGAGGAAAAGGGGAGAGGCGTTACCTCGAGTTAAAAATAAAGCTTACTTCTGAAACAATCAGCAAGGCTCAAAATTCTTTTGCTTGTCAGGGCGACTAAATAATGCAAAGATTTTCACTCAGATTTCACAGTAAATGAAGCGCACTATTTATTAAATATAGTATTATGCCGTTCAGTGGGATATACTTTGAAATAGGAATGTTTACAAACTAGAGCTCAGACTGAATCTTATTGCTCTTGCAGTACCTCTTTAGTGAAGTATTTGGGCATCCAGGGTTTGTTATCAGCTGCTCTCTGCCTCTCCTCCCCTCTCTGACACTCCTCCAGTCTGTGTTTGTGCTCCGTGGCCTCGTCGATGTTCCCTTCCTTCAGCGACTTGGTGACGTTTTGCCACAACCGCCTATAAGCCAAAACACATTTAAAACCGTGTCGGAGGGCAAATGAGTGTGAAACGCTCCCAAAATGCTCACTGAACTCTGCTGCCTTTCACCTGGATTCTGTCCTCGCCTGTTTCTCCACCGGCCGCAGCTTCTTCTTGGTGACGGGAAGTTTGGTCGTGTCGATCACTTTGGTTTCCCCGCTGCTGTACGTGAACTCCAGCGTGCCGTTCCACTCTCCCTGTGCTTTGCACACGATGGTGTTGGTCGGGTTGTGCTTGACCTCTGCTGTCACCCTATGGCAGCAAGACAGAGACCGTTGTTGTTGTTGTTGTTAAGTTAAAAGCAGCCTTTAGCAAGCAGATATTTAAGATATATACATGCACTTAAAAATCGCAGAGGGGGGAATACTCACCGATGTACCTTCCCTCCGTAGAAAGGCTTTGTGTGGAAGGTCACTGTGGCAGAGTAGCCGCTCTTGACACAGTTGATGGAGACTTTGCCCCCCAGCTCCACCCAGGGCACAGTGAGGATGGAGCGGGCGTAGGCACAGGGCAATGTGAAGACGTACTCCTCGTCGTGCTCGAGGAGATAAAGGACTCCTACGGGGAGAAAGAGACGGAGCTCTTAAAGTCAGTCCGACAGGATATGATGAGAGCAGCTACAAGAATTTTTTTTTTTTGAAGCTCATTGTGAGAATGAATTGTTTGAGTAATCCAAGAGTGTGAACACCATTTTCCAAGAAGTTTAAATCAGGTGAGGAATGCCAGCACAGTTGATTTGCCTGCACACCATCAGTCTTTGTCTGAAAACACAATCAGCTGTCAAAGTAATTAAATGCGTGGGCTTCGTATATGGATACTAAGCCAGCTATGTGCCCGTCACTGACTGAGCATTTTTCGCTTATGAAACACAGAAGGCAGCCTGGAGACTTAAACAGCAGATACAGACATTAGACACTGTTTAAAAACTTTACACTTACATCAAACGTGCACACATGTAGGGGTGCAACACTTTCTTTTTTTAACAAATATGGATTCAGATGTGTTTTCAGTTCAAGCTTTATCCGAAAGATCTTTAAAGCTGATATATTTATTGTTAAAGTTGTAGATGATTATATAGAACATAGCCAAAGGTTTCTAGCCATGAGCGCAGCTTATTGGCGAGTTACCCCTTTCAAGTGTCAGGCAGTCCTAAACTTTTTCTACGACAGCTATGAGATAATATGTCCCTAATACAGTCTCAGGTGGGTGGGCGCCGCCTTCTGATAAAACCTGTTTGAGGGACAGCCAGTCACAGGAAGGTTGGCTTACGGGGAGGGCTGCCTTAAAGACAGCTTGGTTCAGACGGGTCACATAAATAAGATATTAACGGCATAATAGGACATTTAGATGGGAATTATTTTTTGAATTGTGAATCATGCAAAGCCATTCTAATATAGTCTAAGACAATAAAAAGGAGCTGAACCAAAACCACTCAAGATGATGTCTGATTCCAACAGATGTGTCACAGTGCATTTCAGAACAGATCCATGAGCAGCTTCCAGCTCTGGATTGCACAGGAACAACAAAAATCATCAAATTTACCAAATAAAAGATAAAAAGCAGACTGCATGATCTGCTTTTGAGATGCTCAAGATAGTCAGAAGTTTACATACAGTCATCCTAGGCATGGTAGTCATTGTGATTTTGGGCTTGCAATGATTTGTTTGACAGCACTCCTTGGACTGACCAATACTAAGGACAATGGTAAAGTCCAAGGAACTCAGTGAAGATCTGAGAACTGTAGATTTTAACAGGTTGGAGCTATTAGACCCATTTCTAAACTGCAGATTCAAAGGTGATCAGTTTAAACACACAAGTCGGCCATAAAGTGGAAACTGCTGAAACACTAGCATCACTGTGACAGTGAAGCAGGTTTTACATCGCCTCCGTACTAAGAGGATGTAGACCAAGAAAGAAGCCCCTGCTACAAAATCAACACCTTGAAGCTTGACTGAAATTTCCAGCTGCGCACTTGGACAAGCCAAATGCTTTCTGGAGAAATGTTTTATGGTCAGATGACACAAAGATTCAGTAATTTGGCCACAGTAACGAGGTCTGTTTGGAGAAGTAAAGGCGAGGCTTTCAAACCTAAGAACACTGTACCAGCTGTCAAGCATGGAGGTGGTAGCATCATGCTCTGGGGGCTGTTTTGCTGCTAGTGGTGCTGGTACAGTCAACAAAGTGGATGGAATAATAAAGAACAACCCAAATGAACAGTTGAAACTTAGACACAGTTATAACAGGAAAATGATCCTAAATATACATCAAACTGGTTTTGAAACTGATAAAAAAAAACGTTAACAGTTGCTGGTTTGGCTTTCTTAAAGCTCTGACCTCAACCCAATTGAACATTTGGACTAGACTTAAAAGCTGCGTCTGTGCCAGGAATTAATCAATTGAATTGAATTTTAAATTTTGCCAAACAGAGTGATCAAACACCGGAATTATGGGATATATATAGTTTGAACCTGTATTAATTTGCAATTATAAAAGCTATTAGCTACACTGGAGAATGTTTAGCAAAATAGAAACCAGTTTATCTCTTTGGGCTCCTTGTTTGTGTTTCAGTCTCTCAGGAATCCCCATAAAGAAAAGCTATTGTGCTTCTAATAATCCACTCACCAACATCATGTGTGTCATCAGTGTACAAGGAGATTTAGTTAGATCAAGTTTTCCCATGCCCCTCTCATGACCACGAACAATTTTCAGCTCTACCATCATAACCTCGTGTTTGCAAGAGGTCACTTGTTTAGCTGTTTCACTGCAAGATGCCTTCAGGGGAAAAAACTGCATGCGGTCCTATTGTGAGCACATAATGACACAGAGTGAGAGAAACCAGCGACGGGAGTGCCAGGCTTAACCAAGTACTGCTGAAAGAACTGTCTGTATGGTAAATGAGTAAACTCGTGGTGGTGGAGTTATTCAGAGCTCATTTAGAGCAAATAAAAGTAGCAACCACAAAATATAAGAAATGAATTCCTCCTCCAAGGGGCTCAAGTGACGAAGCTTTTCATTTACGAGTCAAACACATAGAAAAACTATTAGAGAGATGCAAATACTTCAGCATTATTCTTACATTAGGGCACATTTTGAGTAAAAATGCTTTGGTGCTTTAGACAATTAAATATGAAGATCAATACCACGTATATATAAACTGGGTTATTTAGGAAAGTGCAACACAAACAAAAATCTGTACTGATTCATCTGAACCTTTAACTGACAGAAGTACATAAAAGTATTTAAAAATATAATTGTAACTGTATTTTTTAAAATTATACAAATTTAGAATTTGATGGCTTCAAAAACATTCAACAAGCTGGGACAGACCTATGATGGATGTTTCCTCCAATTAGGAAACGCTGCTGGTTGCCCATTTATTGCATTGACTTTTTGTTTTACATTTTTTCTGACCGACAAAATGTTCACTTAACAAACTGGTCACTCGGCTGTCATGAGCCAATTCCATAAGTTTCCATTTAAAAAATAATCATGGTCCAACTTTGAGCAACAATCAGAGTCTGTCTGCAACAACAGACTCGACTCAACTGGATGTCCTGAAGCAACAACATCAGTATTTGTGGAGTAATTTCTGTTTCCAATACGATTCTGCCTGGACTCTGAATGTGAATAGTTAATGTGAATTTCTGCGAACAGTTAATCTCCATATTATCACAAACAGTTTGCATGCACTGTATCTGAACCTGACCTCATTCAATCACACCTGATAGCAGACTGACCCCGACTTTTTCTTTGACCATTTTTGCACTAAAGTCACTGTGAAGACTGCAACTAACTGCAAGTGGTTGCAATCCTGATTCAGTCTTCAAAGCAATCATTTCAAGGGCAACAAGACTGCATACTTGTCATGCTACCTTGGGTCGTTCTGTGGTTTTCCCTAGTGCACAGATGTTGAACTGCAGGCCTCAAGGGCCGGTGTCCTGCAGGTTTTAGATGTGTCCTTGATCCAACACAGCTCATTTAAAGGCTAAGTTACATCCCCGACATGCCTAGAAGTTCTCCAGAGGCCAGGTGTGTTGACCCGGGGTATTATATAAAACTTGCAGGCCCTCGAGGCCTGGAGTTCGACACCCCTGCTAGTGTGATTGTAGCATTAAGCAAGTTAATTGGTAGCAGGTGAAGTATCATGCACATTTCAGCAGGACAATGTCTTCATGGCTACAAAGACACAACTTCACAGACAGAGTGAGCGTTTGACCTGCTGCCAGTCCAAATCCATCTCCTGTTGAAAAAGTACAGCACTTCATAAAAAGGAGAATCACACAACAGTGACCAGGACTGCTGAGGTGAGTTGAGGCATTACAGCAAGCAAGACAAAATTTCCAGCTGCAAAACTACAACATAATATCCTCAGTACCAAAGCGATTAAAAGGTTTTATTAAAAGGAAGGCTGATGTAATGCATCAGTAAACATGCCATGTGTGTTGCAGCTGTCAAATCCTGACATCTTGTACATTTCCAAGTGCAATTAACTACTCAAAGTCTTTTCTTTGTATTTCTGTCACTTAAATAAAGGTTCAAGTGATATTATAGATTATTTCAGTGATTTTTTTTCTTCTTAGAAAATAACCCAACTTTTCAAGAAATAGGATTTATATTTGTTTAATCCAAGGCTTACACTACAGTCAGCAAAACCCTTACGTAGCACTTATATAAAAGTGTTAATGATGGCCACAATATTAAAAAACAAACAAGCAATTTCATGTTAATTATATACATATTAATATATTTTCAATAACTGTCACTCTCCTGAGTACTGAAGTCCATTATCAGTCAAGTAATGAGATAACATCCTGAGCATGTTTTCAACTAATCATGTAAAGGTTCTAAAGATGCTTTTGCATGTCATAGATTAAAGCAAAGAACTTCAGTTAATCCAGATGTGGCACATCAGTGTATAAAAAGGTTTATTATTCTTTTTTTCTATCCTACACGACCTCTAGGAGGCTCCATACATTGAGATCCAGGTCAAACCGAAATCTAGCATCTCGTGTAGCTTTCAGGCTGCATCAGCTGCCGTTTCTTATTCTGCTGCTGACTCACTGCCAATCAGTATCAGTGCCTCTTTATAAAACTACAGTATCAGCTGCTGTCAGGAAAGACGCCACTGCAAAAAATAAATCCACCAATCAATGGATCCTGGGGTGACGGTCATCGTGTTCTCTGACGGCAGCATCAGCCTCCGCGCATGACAACGAACTGCTGCATCACAACCTGGTGGCAGGTGGTCAGTTTATGTATCCGGATTTAGTTGATTGGGCCCAAGGACTTCCTGTATCTCGGCTCAGGGTGACTCATCCCTGACAGCTTACTGTACACGATGTAACAGTACCAGCAGAGAGGTCTGGGCTATTGATTGCCACAGGAGGGATCTTATAGTCCTCACACAGACAGTGGCAGGCAGTTTTGGTGAGACACACTGTTTAGAGACTTTCTACATAGCCTGTAGATGCTAGAAGGTGAGCTACACTAAATGAGGGATTGTTCTTTATTAAAGGGGAACTATTTTTCTCACTTGTGGCTGCATAGCATATTCTTGACCCTGCCAGAGTAGATTTACATGATTCACAGTTCAAAATTATGCTTATTTATCTTATGCAGGTGCATAACACTGTTCATCTGCTAACAAGCCGCTTTTTCTCCTCTCCCTTTAAGACAGCTTTCTTCTGATTGGCTGCCCCTTGCAAACAGAAGCTATCAAGAACAGGTGCATGTGGCTGTGCTTACAGCTAGAGCTGTATGCATTAATAAAAATAAAGTAAAGATCAAAACAAAATGCATGAATGCAGGAGACTGATTGTTTTCTGTGATAACTTTTTTTTGACCCACAGTATTTTAGAAGGTTTGTGGTAGACTGGCTCACCTTCTCCCACCATGGACACTCCTATAGACATGCCCATGAACTTGCTCTTGGTCCACACGTGGGCGTTGACACACATCCTCCGTTCCCGGCACTCGCAATAAAACCCGGACACAGGGGGATGATGGGACACCTGCTCGGCCACAAAACGCACTCTGTAGCAGCTTCCCGGTGAGTCCTCGTCCTGCTGTGTGTTGTTGGGGCCTCTGCTTGGCTCCCGAGCCGACCCCGGGTTCGATCTGTCCAAAGGCTTGACTTTGTCCCGAGGAACTTCCCAGGAACAGTGGAAGGTCTCCCCCAACACGGGGTTGTAGGGTTTCTTTGCCACGGCACCTTTCCGCCCCTCGTGGAAGGCAGTCAGGTAATACTCCACAAAGCGGACTATTCGGTCCTCAGCTGTGGCCCCCGCTGTTATTGACAGGAACATGTCGGGGTGCGCCATGAAGTTAGCGTACATTTCCAGCAGTGATCGCTTTTCCAGAATGAAAGTAGGCAGCACCACCTAGGAAAGCAACGCAAAGGAAAGATAGACACTTTGTGACACATTTTATTTCAGTCAGTGCTGCTAAAATCAAACTTCATAGCCAAGAACTTTTTGGTAACTTGACTTTCTTCTGCCTTTCCATTTGCATCCATGAAAGGCCCAAGGCGAAGAAAGCAGCTGTGGTAGAAAGATGCCAAATTACAGAACCTAGCTGACGTCAATGACAACAAATATGATGCTAATTAACTCAGACACCGCATTAAAGAAGAAAGAATAGATGTAAAGATGAGTTACAGTTGCAGGAGGAACTTAGGAGGGTTTAGTACATGACTTTGAGGCCTGGCTGAACTAATTCTCATAAGTAAGGATGCCATCTCTCTTATAGAGTCAGTGTTTCTGTGTCATACCCGTGTGAGATCCATTCCCAGTTTGAGCTGCGAGAGCAGGTGGAGAATGATGCTCCGCTGGTCATCCAGGACGCCCAGGTCCTCCTCTTCGTTGTCCTCCGTATCCGTCACCTCCTCACTGGGGCTGACGTCTTCCAGCCCTGGGTGCTGCTGTGAAAACAAGAGGGAAAAGAAAATTGGCCCAGGTGGACTGCTTGCACAAAATCCAACATATTAATTATATTTTTTCTTCATCTTTTATGTCGGAATCACACATATTTTCACATCTTGAGAACTCAAAAAAAAATGCAACAAACTAAGAAGTCAATCAAAAGCTAACACCAAAAGATGGTGCACATTCGGGACTTTAGTCATGCTTAGTATTCCACAGTCACAGACACAATGGTGCTCGCTCTGGCACCTGTCCTCTGAAAAGGCCAAGAGGAGGAAGATAAAGTCATTTTCTTCCCCCACCATTCAACTGTCAATACCAATGATAAGGTCACGCATCTCATTTAGAGGCCAAGACAGGACCTGTTAGAGAAGCAACCTATCGGGACACAGCCAATTACCAATTATCACCAGTCATTCGGTTCATTTTCACTGTGGCCCATTCATGTCCTTTCAGCCTTTCAAGGCACTTTGAGTGTTTTAAATGGCAACAGGAGCTCTGAATTTCTCTGAGTGCGCCGACTGGCCTCTTGTTTGGACTCAAGAGCCTCGAGCTCTGACCTTCACTACGTCTGCAATGGTGAGAAGTTGTGTCCTTCGTTTGTGTCCCACCATTCAACTACAAACACATCCAGTCGAGGTTAAAGAGGAGCTCGTGCCTTTGATATCTCCTGCAGAAACTTGGGGCAGAAAAGAAGATGGGAAAGAAAAAAGAAAGAGGTTGATGTATAATGCAGAAAGTGCTCTCGAGGCTGCAGGCAACAACAACTCTCTGCACGCCCCTCTGCTCTTTATCCTCCATTTCCATCTGTGACTCTATGCAATAACATTTACAGATACATACAGTACGTGTCTTCTTTCCTACTTTAGATTATTTTAGTGAAGACGCTGCAGGAAAAAAGCCAAAAACAGGCAGGAATACTGAGGGAAGTCTGATCTGAAACTCCAGGCAGTGTAATTGCACACAGGGCTCCTGCAGAGAGCTGGGAGAAGCAGAAGAATACCAGAGTGTTCCAGGACCCGAGTGCCTGCTTGTCACCTGAATATTTTATTCCATGGGTGCACGCCAAAATATCCACATGCACACACAGACTACACGCTCTCTGCACCAAAACATTTTTGCACAAAAGACACCAGCGCACACAGGAGGGAGCATGCATGAGCACACATGTACAGGAGTCCCTGGGGCTGCCTGGTTCTCGCAGCAGAGTGATATATATAGAAATGAAAAGGAGGGGAGGGGAGGATGGTAGGAGGAGGTCTGTTATGATTTCATTGGTTCTAACTAATTAAAGAGGTTCCTGACAGCAACAGGAAATTACTGCTGAGGAGGTCAGAGCATCTCTCCAGAAAACCCTCGAGTGGATATATCGGTGGACTCGGTGGCTGGCATTAACTCAGACTTCTTAATGCAGTCCAACTCGTCCAAAAGTGGATCATAATGTGTCTCAAATAGGAAATAACTGCAAAGTGTGTTCAGATTTATGGCTCCATCGAAGCGAGAGAGGGAGAGGACAAGAGCAAGTACACTATTAAAAGGTTTCAGCTCCGTTCCTCCCGCTACCGTCACACATTGTAGCAGAAAATCCATCATTTTAATAAGTTCTTCTATAGTCATGTTTAAAATCACGTATATGCCCCTCTTGCTCTCATGTAGTGCTTCCTGTCGCATTTTTTACCCTTTTAACCGCCCACTGTTCCTACCATAGTCCCTAACAATTACACATGTTGTGAACATTTAACATACACACAGACAAAGCTCAAATTTTCAAAGTCAAGCAGTTTCTCCCAAACTCATCTCATACAGTGTTGTATGAGATTCCTTTAAAGTGGTGAAGTAAGTATTCAGATCACCAAATTACACTTTATGTGCTTATAAAGAACAACAGAATCAGCTGTATCTGCAAAACGGTAGGTTATCTAATAATTAATCATCCAGATTTGATCTATATTTAGCAAAAATAACTTTAGTATATAATTTAACTAGTGGCTAGATATGACAAATAAATGGAGTGGAGTATAGTTCAATATTTTCCTCCAAAAATCCAATGCTTATATTCCACCATGTTCTTCATAAATGCAATATAAAGAGGATGCGAGAGATTTTTCAGATGAAACACAAAAAAATGTCAGCTTATAGCAGACCAATAAGGCATTAATACATATCTATTAACAATTAGTTACAGAATTAAGCATGTCAGATGTATTAATGAGAGTCTAAGAGTGTATTTTGCACTTCAAAAACAATCTCAGCAACTTTAACAGATGCAGAAAATGTTTACCACACGAATAAACCCCGACGGCTGATTTGTTCTATAATTTATGAAGTCAACAAAGGCGCTCAGTGTTGGAGGAAAACTCACTGCCTCCCACATCAGACCAGCAATGTTCACTGCCAAAATGCACAAACTTGTGCACACTGTGTACCCCCCTCCCCAGGCTGCATATACACTTACTCACCCCATAACCAAAACAGAGAAAAAAAGATAATCAGCACACGATGCAAGGGTGCATGCACACACAAATATCAGCTCAGAAACACTTACACTGCATTGTTGTGCAGCTACAGGCTTGACCTGCATAAGACTGGATCTCATCTCCAAAAAGAAGAAAAGAAACGGATAGGCTGGCCTCAGGTAAACGATCCAGTGGAAGGAGGGAAATTAAATTTTCTTGCTCCAAAAGCAGGACGGCCACAGCACGGCACTTCAGCCGGATCAAAATCCAATTTAAGAGATGTTCTCTTGGTGGAAACTCGATCTAAATTTGGATCTTTTGAGGTGATTAAAGCTCGAAGTGTCTTCTCCCACATGTGGGTTTCCTGACTGAGTGAGCAGCTGCCTTGAAGGAGTCTTGGCTCTTTGTTGTGTTTTTTTGGTTTTTGGAGAGGCGTTCAGTGTGCCTGAGCAAAGTTGCTATGCATGACTTACAGAGAGTCTCTCTCTCGCCTCTGCTAACCCCCCCCCCCCCCCCCCCCCCCCCGCCTTTATAAAAAGAGGGAGGAGGGAAGAAAACAGCTGAGGGAAAGTCCCAGTGATGCTTCCCTCTACACCCTCCCATCATCCATCTCCGATTTCCCTTCATCTTTCCATTTTTACCTCATCCTCCTCCACCCTTACCTCATCACTTTTTCCTCTGCTCCCCTCCCTCCTGTCCTCTTCTGACAAGGCTTCCCTACCTCCTACGCCTCCTCCTCCTCTCCTAGTATATGTGGGACGGGTGTATGTATTATCTCCTATTATTACCACTAGTCTGCCAGTTCTGCACCCCTACAGTAGTCGACTCTTCAGGAACACATGCGAGGGGGGGGTGCTATCATCTACCTTGTTCTACCTTTCAGCTCGTTTCCAGTACATTTTCTCTCTGTAACACAGACTCTTTTTTTTTTTAACTCCAGTCCTCTGTTTGATTCATTCTTCCCCACTCTTCCTCCGCCCTCACACTGTCATCTCCGTCATTGTGTCTTTCATTTACTCCCCCCCCCCAGCTCTTCATTCATGCCATCCGCTATTCTGTTTCATCATCATCTTTCTCCTTAACCGTCTTCCTCACCCTCATTCACATGGTTCCCCCCTGCCTCCTTCTCCTTCCTAATGTATTTTTCTATCCAGTGTAGGCGTCTGCAGAAGGCTCAGTTAGTGCAAGTCTGCACTTCAAAGACTCCTTTTCTTCCTCAGTTACAACTTTGAGGGCTTGTCCTCCTTCACCAGCTGTCCTTCTCATCCCCTATCATCATCATCACTTCCATTTTCACTCATTTGTTTGTCGAAACAACATCTGAGAAAAGGAATCTACTCGAGGTGTATGAGTCTCAACTTCTAAACCACTTGCTATTTTGCAGCAGCTCTGTCCTCCTTCCAGCTCGGCCTCTGAAGTGTGTGTACGAGAGTGAAGTGGATTTCTCCTGCTTCTACTCCTCTGGGAGCAGTACACAGAAAATAAATAAATAAGAAAAATAAAAAGGAAACGATTCGTCTCCATCCAGCTCAAACACAGATTTTCATTGGCTGGATGTGTTTCCTCCTATGCAGAGCGTAAAACTGACCCTAAACCTTGTTCAGGACACGAAACACCAGCTAAACAACAGAGAGCTGGTTTTTGGGGAAATACAGCTTTTTCTCTTTTTAATGAATGAGATTAAAATCAGTTCAAAATCCGCCACTGCAGTGTGCACGCACATCTTTTTACTGAGATTATGAAACTGACACTCTTAACAATGGGGAGCCGGCACCTACAGTACAAAGACGTCTGATGAAATATGAGCCACAGCTTCCCCTCCGTGCTGTTGTTGCTGCTGTGTTTTAAAATGGAAACTAATTATTTATCACTTCAGATTCACAAAAACAATCCAAGAGTTCAAAAACCTAAACACGGAGTAATTTACAATTATTTGTTGAAAAAAGAAAGAAAACAGAAAGAAAACTATCGAGCCTGTTAGACCCTGTTAGACCAGCTTTTGCCAACAAATACTGCAGTTTTTAAAATAATGTCATGTATAGTAATACATCGGGTCCATAATGTGCAAATTGCAGTAACTGTTTGAGACTTGCAGACATTTTTTAAATACAGTTTTGGTTTTAATAATCAAAAGCAAAGCAAATACTCTGTTGGGCTGAGATCAGGTGACTGACTTGGCCCTTAAAGAATATTCGGTTTTTCTCCTGGGTTGCTTTTACAGTTTGCTTTGGACACTATGAAGTGCTGACTATATAATCCTGTTAATCTTACTTTCAACTGTCCAAATATTTTTCCCAGAGCTGTGCAGCGTCTTTTTGGATGACTTCTGGCTAATCTGGCCTTCCTGTTCCTGAGTGCAATCAGCAGTTTGCACGTTGTTGTAAACACACTGTATTTCCATTCATGAATCCGTCTCTTGATTGTAGGCTTAGACAGCCATACGCCTGCCTCCTCAAGACTGCTCTTAACTTTACGACATCTAACCAAGTAGTTTTTCTCAAACACGGAAATAATTCTGTCGTCATGCGTTTTAGTTCTTTCAA